GGTCCTTTACATCGATGATGCACTGATCACACCTGTTCAACAGGAAGTAGCGGATACTCCAGACAGTTTGTGAGACCATGCGTTCCAGAGAATGGGAAATAAATCACCCCTAAATTCAGATTATGCTGCCTGAGAAAAATCTCTAGGAGTCCAGCTGCCTGAGGCACGCTGAGGCAGGTCCTCCCAAGGTGAAGACACGTCGCTCCATCTGACCTCTTACTCATAAGGGACAAGTCCAAGACCCATGGGCCTCTTCTTAAATTTGGAGACAGCGTACACCTCCTTGGACATGCTACCTCAGCCCATTTATTACGTACCTTGAAAGGCTGCTGGCTTCGAGTGGGGCCCAGAATGGAAGGAATCTCTGCAACAGGTGCAGGCTGCAGACAGCCTCAGCCCGTGGCCCAGCAGACGCAATGGCGTTGGAAGCACCTGAAGCAGATGAGGTTCCTATGCAGAGCCACTGGCAGGAAGCTTTAGATGAATTGACAACACAGTCGTTTAAGATTCTGAAGCCACGCTGTGCCATTTCTGCAGAAATGATTTTCAATTTGTGACACAGCTTCTAGCCTGCTACTGGGCTGCTGTAGAGACTGAACACTTGGCCTTGAGGGGGCAGGTCGCCATGTGACGTGAGCTCCCGTCATGAACTGGGTGTGGACTGACCAGCCAAACTTGCAACTGGCCGTGCCCAGCTGCTCTGCGTCATCAAACAGAAGTGGTTTATACAAGATTTGGCTAAAGGGGTTTGTGAAGACATGTGGTAGGCACAGTCATGACCTCCCAAAGGTGTCCACGTCCTGGTCCTCAGAGCCAGTGAATACGGTACCTTACGTGGCAAGAGGGACCTCGCAGATGTGATTAAGTTAAGGATCTTGGGGCCAAAAGATCATCTTGGATTATCCAGGTGGGCCCCATTGATCCCAAGGGGCCTTATGCGTGAAAGAGGGAGGCAGGAGGATGACATCAGACAAGAGAAGATGGAAGCAGAGGCTGGAATAACGTCACCGCTGGCTTCGAGGATGGAAGGGGATGAAAGTGAAGGAGAGCAGGCAGCCTGCAGATGCTTGAGGAGGTAAGAGAACAGATTCTCCCTGGAGCCTCCAGAAGGAACACAGCCCTGATGACAACTGACGACAGCCCAGGGAGATGCCTTGTGGACCTCTGATAGTCAGAACTGTAAGATAACAAATCTGTTGTCTTAAGAATCTAAGCTTGTAGAAACTTCTTAGAGCAGCAGTACGGAGCTGCCACACATTGTATCTCCTTTATGATAATCTGAGTTCTGTAAACTCTGGGTTTCAACAAATTTGGTCACTGATGCATTTCCATGGTCAGGCACATTGCAAAACTCAATAAATATATGTTGATACTTTTGGGCAGGAAGGAGTTAAGACCAGGAAGACAGCGGCCACGGATCAGGGGAGACCCCATTTCTGTCTGAGATGTCTTCAGGGAGTCTAGTGCACACCCCAGCCCTGGGGAAACCAGAGCCGGGCTCTTAGAAAGTTCCCCTTCCTGTGGGGATGCTGATGTAACAACCCGTGACAGGGAGGACCCAGCCTCCAAGTGCCAAACCCTGTGTGTCTGTCTGTACTGCGGACACCGTGGTCTACCCATCTGCACAGCCGGGGCCAGTGGGAGGAGACGCCATGACCCCCACCCTCATGGCCCTGCTCTGCCTAGGTGAGATGGGAAGAGGGGGAGGGGAGACCCTGATCTGGGAGGGACCCAACCCCACAGCCAGGCCCTGCTCTAGCAGGAGACCCCAGGGGCTCAGGAGCCTCCCGGGGAGGACAGGACAGTCTCAGCCTTCAAGGGGCAAATCTCTCACAGGGAACTCTCTTCCAGGGCTGAGTCTGGGCCCCAGGACCCATGTGCAGGCAGGTAAGTCTGTCCGGAGCTGTCCCAAGTCCCTCCTCCCTGGGGATAAGGGGACACCCCTGGGCAGCTGGGGATGGGGAACAGCAGCTCTGGGCTGACAGATGGGGACGTCTAGAGGGTCCTGGACTGAGAGCTGGGATCTGAGGGGTGGGGAAGTCTTGGGACCCAGCCTCTGATTTCCTTCCAGGGACCCTCCCCAAACCCACCCTCTGGGCTGAGCCAGACTCTCTGATCACCTGGGGCAGCCCTGGTACCATCTGGTGTCAGGGGACCTTGGAGGCCCAGGAGTACCGTCTGGATAGAGAGGGAAGCTCGGTGTCCTGGGACAGACAGATCCCACTAGAGCCTGGGAACAAGGCCAAGTTCAACATCCCATCCATGACAGAGCACTACATAGGGCGATATCGCTGTTATTATCACAGCCCTGATGGATGGTCAGAGCCCAGTGACCCCCTGGAGCTGGTGGTGACAGGTGAGAGGACACTTAGGGGTCCCAGCCCCAGGCTCTGCGCTCAGAATGGGAGTCAGGGCGTCTGCTCTCAGGGGTGACTCCCTCTCACAGCCCAGCCCTGGGGGTGATGTGGGAAGTGTCAGCCCCATTCAACACGCTGCCTCCTTCTCTCCTAGTACCCTACGGCAAACCCACCCTCACAGCCCTGCCGAGCCCTGTCGTGACCCCAGGCGGGAAGGTGACCCTCCAGTGTGGCTCACAGCTGGAATTTGACAAGTTCATTCTCACTAAGGAAGGAGAACGAAAGTTCTCCTTGGCCGAGGACTCACAGCAACAGTCCTACAGGGGCTCCCAGGCCCTGTTCCCTGTGGGCCCCATGACCCCCAGCCACAGGTGGATGTTCAGATGCTATGGCTATTTCAGGAACAAGCCCTGGGTGTGGACAGGACCCAGTGACCTCCTGGAGCTCATTGTCTCAGGTGAGGACCGCGACGCTGTCCTGTCTGAGCTCTAAGGGTCAGCTCAGGGCCCTGCCCCAGGAGAGCTCTGGGCTGGGATGGGGTGAAGGGGATTTGGGGGAGGCTCGGACAGAGGGGTTCACCCCTCAGAGGGCGGGAGGCCAACAGGGGCCCTCCCACAGAGTCCACCCCCTCCCATAACCTGCATCCAGAAGACAACAGGTGGGTGGAGGGAGGGTGTCGAGAGGCCACAGGGCAGATGTAGAAGAGTTTGAGTGAGGATGGGGTCTCTGTAAATAGCAGCACCCCTCGCCCCCTTCCTGTGCTCATTCCCAGGACCACCGGTGCACCACAGCCCCCCAGCCACAGAGCACCCCGCAACAGCTGGTGAGTTCCAGGAGCCTGTCGGCTCAGAGGGAGCGCAGCCCGCCCCAGGGCAGCTCTGAGTCCCCCATCTTCACATTCCCTCATACTCTCAAGGATGGGCTGTCGGGGGCGGCACTCAGGAAGAAATGCGGGGACCCAAGGCTCCCAGGGCTCTGAGGTGGGTCTGGTGAGGGGTGGGGAGCCCAGGCAGGGGAGATGCGGGGCCCAGCCTGGGGGAGGGGCGGGCTGCAGTGGGGAGCAGACAGCCCCAGCCCCCACCTTCTGTCCCGACCAGGAGGCTGAGGACCAGCCCCTCCCCCCAGGGGGTCAGGCCCCAGAGTGGCGAGTGAGGGGCTCTGTGTGGGGACGTGGGGCGGGGTCCGCGGGAAGCAGGGGCTGAGTTAAGCCGTTGGTTCAGGCTCCTCTAGAGACAGGGCGTGGACAAGCCCTTCCCTGTCTGGGCCTCAGTTTCTCTAAGTGTAAAGGGGAGAGGCCTGGCCCGGAGGGTGAAGCTCCCTCCAGTTCTGGCTTCTGCTGTGGCCCCCTTGGGAGAGGAGGCCTCCCAGGGAAGCCTGCAGGACCCCCTCCTGCAGTGGCCTGTCCCACCCGCTGCCACAACGGCCACGCTGTGCAGGGAGGGAGCGGGGCTGCGGGGCGTGCAGGCTCTGTCCCTTCGCCTCGGGTCAGGTCTGGAAGAGGGAACGGCTGAAAGTCACCTCACCAGGGTCACTTTCCAGCTCTGCTGCCTGCTGGCTTGGCACCCTGGGGCAGGGGGCTCACTTCTCTGGGCCTCAGTTTCCTCCACTGTGAAATGGGTGGAGGGGGGGGCGATCCCAAGTTGCACGTCTGGTGAGGGCTGGAGGTGATGGATGCAGAGACCCGGCCCCTGCCTGCACACAGTAGGTGCTCAGTTGATGACGTCATTCCTCACTCCTGACATCACTCGTGCTCAAGGTCAGGGAAGGTTCCTGGAGGTTCTGATCGGGGTGTCGGTGGCCTTCGTCCTGCTGCTCTTCTTCCTCCTCTTCCTCCTCCTCCGACACCGGCGTCGGGGCAAACACAGGTCATCGGGTGAGTGGGGAGTGGGGGACGCAGGGGCAACCGAGGGTGGGCTCGGGCACCAGCCACAGGGAGAGCAGACAGACGGGCAAAGTCAGCTCGGAGAACCTGCTCCCGCAGTTTCCAGTCAGAA